GGTGAGCGCCCCGCTGCGTCCCAGAGCGCTAGCAGCAAGTGATGGATGCGCTCCACCCCTTTCTCCTGGCGTGCTCGGAAAACCTCGCGAGCTTTGTAGTGCTTACCCTCCTCTCTCCAACCCTCCACCCGCTCCACTTCCCCATTCCTCTCCGACTCCCGAAGTCCTAAATTGGGGATGCGTGGAACCTGCGGGTCTGGGACCCAGGACCCAGGAGACCCGGAGGTGACTGGAAAAGGTTGGGGAAGGGTTTGTGTGTCCCAGCGCGGGAAGCTGGGCTGAAGAGTGTTGGCGCCAAGACCGAGGGTGTATGCGTCCCCAGGGTGAGGGACCCACTGAGCGTCTTATCCAACCCTACATCACCATAAGGTCCCCAAGAGGCCTTGTGCGGCAGTGTTTAGAAAACTCTAGAATTCGTGTTTAAGCCGGGATGGGAGAGCCATGGCAGGGGATCTGGAAGCCTAGGATCGCAGGATGAGCGAGCGACCAGGCCCTGAATCACAGGCGCACAATTTCCAGAAAGCCTCTTTTCTACTGCCCTCTCTCCCTTCTCTCCCTTGCCCCTGCATGGTCGCTGCCCAGGGGACACTTGAAGTGGCTAATCTCCACTGGGAGGATTGAGGCATCCAAGACTATGTTCGACGAGGACTGGAAGCAAAAGGGACCAACTGCCTCCCCAAGCTAGGGACCAGCAGAAGAAAAAGAAGCAGGAGACCCCAGTGAAACCAATACCGGTTTTTATTGACATCCTGAAGGCACATCCTCAAGTGAGGAAAGTCGCAGAGCCAGAGGGGTTGTCAGAGCTGGAGAATCATCTGGCTCTGGGGCTAGCAGGAAGATGTCTGGTGATCCGGGTGCTCCTGGGACTTGAGAAAGTCCCTGTATTTGTGCAGGAAGGGTTTGGCCAGCTCCTTCAGCTCTCGCTGAAGCTCCTGCAGAGCCCTGTCCTGCTCTTGCTGCTCGCCCGTCAGCCGTGGCTTGTAATAGTTGGCGTACAGGTTCACCCAGTCATCCACGACCATCTCCATGGCCTCCTCAGATAGAAATGGATCACCCAAGACCTGGTGGGGAAAATCACCAGGATGGGGGTGGGGGGGAGACAGTGCAGTCAACAGTGTGATGGGGAACCCTGCAAACTCCCGTCCTCTGTCTCTGAATGTAGCCCCTCGCCTCCCATCACTTCACTCTCTGCCCAGCTTTGACTTGTTTCTCCCTTCGCTGCACTCAGCACCCCTGCCCAATCCACACTCTCACACCTGTCCCTGGAAACAGACAGCCCGGGGCCTACCTGCTGATTCAGCAGAACATTAAATTCCTTCTTTCCTGTGCAAATGAGATCCTTATTGGCGGGAAGAAGTGCCATCTCTCTGGCGGAAGAGAAAGAGGTAGAATATAAGCATCCTTTTTCACAGCCCCTGGGGAACACCCCCTCATCCCCTCATTTCCCCCACCCCTACCCTTTCAAATCCTGCTTTGCTTTGAGGTCACATTTCTCCCCACTTGGGCCCATCTTCAAGTCCTGCGGTGTTGTGTCTGCCTCACCCACACTCCTCAGGGTCTGCGTGTCCTCTGTGCTAAGCCAGACGCAGGCCAGGAGTCAAGTGGCAGCATCAGAAGGAGACGCCCTGCATCTAGATCCTGAGCGAGGGTGATAGGTCGGCTTGGGGAGGGGAAGGTGGGTGAGTCTGCTCTGGACACAGAAAGATAGCGAGGCCTAGAGAACCAAATGAATTTAGAGACCCAGAGAACGCAAAAACCAAACCAGAGACACATTCTTGCCCTCTGCCCAGTACCCAGGCTTCAAATGCTTAAGGAAACCAATTCTCACATGACCAGACAGTTCCCCATTGCCACGACAATGAGGCAGCAATCATTTGCTCAACTCAAAGATGACATATTAGTAGCACCTTTTATCATATTTGGTCATTTGTGCTAGGCTCTGTTTCAAATATGTGTTAAGTATTTATCCTTATTATTTTTTAAATATTTATTTATTTTTATTGCAAAGGCAGATAAAGAGGAAAAGAGACAGAATGGAACATCTTCCGATCATTGGTTCACTCCCCAAGTGGCTGCAAAGGCTGGAATTGTACCAATCCAGGAGCCCGGAGTCTGGAGCCTCTTCCAGATCTCCCATGTGGGTGCACTGTCCCAAGGCTTTGGGCTGTCCTTAACTGCTTTCCCAGGCCACAAGCAAGGAGCTGGATGGGAAGCGGGGCTGCTGGGATTAGAACCAGCACCCATATGGGATCTTGGTGCGTGCAAGGCAAGGACCTTAGGCATAAGGCTACTGTGCCAGACTCCATTTATCCTTATTTTTAAAAACTCCCGTTACACATGTTGCATCTGCGCCCTCTGTAAGATGTGCAGGCTGGGCTCTCGGTGCCAGACTCTGTCCACAGGAATGCGGCTGCTTTCGTCCCATTGTGGACAACATCACCAGGTATTGAGGAGGGTATAAATACTCCTATCTCCACTTTAAATGATTTTCCTGGTTTTCATTTTCACCAGCTGTTATTCAAATTTCAAAATCATTGCATACTAATTGAACAATGCAAAAATGTACTCTGAAGGTCTGATCATTTCTTGCTCTCCCCGCCTCTCCCAAACCAGCCAGCATGAAAGATGTGTATGTATATTTCCTGTCACATTCTTCTTCATTCAAAAAAAAGAAATGACATTCATAGGCACCTAAACATTTGCATTTCAGGAGGTTTGTTGATTTGGGACCTTTTTTCAAAAGGATTGATTATTTTTGTATTGGAAAGGCAGATATACAAAGAGAGAGATATACAAAAAGAAAGATCTCTGTCCACTGATTCACTCCCCAGTAGCCACAATGGCTGGAGCTGAGTCAATCCAAAGCCAGGAGTTAGGAACTTCTTCTGAGTCCCCCATGTGACTGCAGGAGCCCAAGGCTTTGGGTCATCTTCTACTGCTTTCCCAGGTCACAAGCAGGGAGCTGGATGGATAGTGGAACAGCTGGGACATGAACCGGCTCCCATATGGGATCTTGGCAGTTGCAAGGTGAGGATTTAGTCACTAGGCTATTGCGCTAGGCCCGGTAAAGCTTTTAAAAAAGATAATTTGACAATACTTCAAAATAAAATATACATGTCCTTCAACTCAATGGTTCAATGAGAATTATTCATATGATTTTTAAAAAGATCCCTTATTTGATAGGCAGAATGAGAGAGAAAATCTGCTGCCTCTGAAAGTGAGCATCAGTAGGAAGTTGGAATTGAAGGCAGAGCTAGGACTCAGACCCAAACATTCCAAATGGGATGTGGACCACTATGCCCTAATAGTGTCTCCCTTGGTGACACTCAAAACATCTATTTCCAACAGCAAATTCTATGGCAACCCTAGTCATGACAGTTACTTACTTGACTTGCCTCTTACAGAGCAAAGGGGCTCCCATTTGAACATCTGTCACTCTCCCCAAATATTAGCTCAAGAGTTTTACACACGCGACTCATTTAACCCTCATCCCAGTTGTACACACGCGACTCATTTAACCCTCATCCCAGTTGCATGTGCTAGGTGCTGGGATGATTTCCATTCTGCAGCTGAGGAACTGGAAGGACAGAGTGCAGCAAGCAGCTTGTCCAGATCTCACAGCTACAACCCTGGCAGGAACCTACATTCAAAGTGAGGCAGTCCCTTGGGATTTCCCTCATAGACACTGGCCTCAGGGCTCAACACATTCACAGAGTCAACACTGAAAATCTAGCACCCTGGGGTGGGCATTGGCCACAGTGGTTACACAGCCACTTGAGACACCATATCATAGCCTAGGAGGCAGCAGCTAATGACCCAAGGCACTACAGCCCCGGCCACCTTTGTAGGAGATCGGGATGGAATTCTAGGATCTGGATGGAATTCTGGGCTCCCGGGTTGGTCTAGTCCAGCTCTGGCTGTTACGTGTATTTTGGGAATGAACTAGCAAATGGGAGATCTCTCTGCCTTTCAAATACACGAATAAAAAATTTGAAAAAGAAAATGTAATGTTGCATAACATAAGGCTTATAACTTTTCAAACTACCAAGAAACTTGCTTTTCTCTCTCTCTTTTAATTAGCTGCCTCGGTTTATCCATCTGGGCCTCAGAGATGGCACTGCTGTCAGATAAGGGGAGGCTGGAATAAGGGCGTTTCAGGCTCATGTCCAGGAGAAAGGTGACAGTTCGGAAGGATAAGAAGCTTCCGATAGCTGTCATACTGTTTTGAGGCTGGTTAAGGAACTGGGGGATTTTATTTTCTGATGAAAAATAGGCTGCTTTGGGCAAATGTCTGCTTGAAAGTAAATCCACTGCATTCCCTGGAAAGGAGAAAGAGGGAGAAGGAGAGGAAAGTGGGTTGAAAGGGAAGCACTCCATCTTCAGTCTTTGCCAATTTCTTCCTGGACTCTGCCCCCATCACCCCGTAAGCAAACCAGAACTTTCCTCCGGCTTCTCCGGCTTTCTGACACATCATCGAATTTTCTCGGCCCTGGATGAAGTTTCAGGAATCAAACTCCCTCAGGTTCAGGAGGACAGAGACTCCCAGAAAGAAAAATAAAGCAAAACAAAGCGCCTGGGCGGCCTCAGGAATGTCTTCTTGTGTGGGTCCCAAAATACCCGGACCAAACAGAGAAAATAGAAATACAGTCTCTACCCTCCACAGCACAGAGGCCGCCTGAGGCCCAGAAGGGGACGCTGACTTGCCTCAAGTCCCACAGCCCAAGCTGAGGATGCTGCATCAAATGCCTCAAACACCACCCGGTCCCTAGGGACGCCATCTTTCCTCCTCTTCATGACTGGGAGTTTGCCGCTCACGAGGACTTCGGGAGCCGAAATGCTCCCAATGCACAGTAAACGCCGCAAAGATAAAGAGCCGGGCTAGTCCCGGGGTGTCGCAGGCGGCCCGGGAAGCCCGAGGACACTGTCACAGCGAGGCAGGCGCCGGGCGCCTTCGCGAAGGAAAAACTGTCCCTCCGCAGCCGCCGTCGCCGAGCCGGAAGCGCAGCTAGGCCACGTCTAACTTCAGGCCGGAGAGCCGGGCTTCGGCATGGCTGAGGACGCGGGTGGCGGGAGCCCTCTGTGCTCCGAGCAGTTCGGCTCCGGGACGGCGCGGGGTTGCCGCGCCGCGGCCGACGGGAGCCTACAGTGGGAGCCGGGAGGATGGCGCTGGCGCGGGTTCTCCAGGGTCTTCCAGGCGAAGTCCGAAGGAGGAGACGGGGGTCCGGGGGACGGTCCGGGCGCCGCCTCCCAGCCCCTCTGGGGTCTCCAGGCCGTGTTCCTGCCGCAGGGCTTCCCTGATAGCGTCAGCCCCGACTACCTGCCCTACCAGTTGTGGGATTCTGTGCAGGTCAGCCCGGTGGTCTGGGGCATGGGGCGACGGATGGCGGCGGGAGAGGGTGGGCGCAACGCAGGAAGGACGGCTCGCTGCGCCCGCACCTCGCCTGACTTCTTTTCTTCTCTAGGCTTTTGCTTCCAGCCTCTCCGGCTCCCTGGCCACCCAGGCAGTCTTGCTGGGTCTAGGGGTGGGAAATGCAAAAGCCACGGTGTCAGCCGCCACGGCCACCTGGCTCGTGAAAGGTGAGCTGGACCCCGGGGGCCGGCCTGTGACCTCTCGCTGCAAAACCCCAGCCCCTTCTCTCCCTCGGCCTGTATCCTAGGCTCCTGTCTGCTGAGGTCGATTGCAGGAGCCCAGTCTCCCCAGTGTTGTGGTACTGTGCCCATTTGCACCCCCATCTTAACACCCACAGCCTCAATCCTTTTATCCCACACAACAACCTAGGGCCACACTTCATGCCCCACACAAGCTTCGAGTCCTCAGATCAGCCGATCCCAGTGGGCCCATTGTCGCTGCCTCCCCGCTCACACCTTGGCTGTTTGAGGAAGCTTGCAAGAGAAGGCAGCTTGTTCAGTAATACTGCCCAGTATGGTGGGAGTTGGTCATTTCCAGAAGATTCTGAAAAGATGAAAGGTGCTATTTAGCCTCTGGGGTTCTAAATGATGCTATATTAAAAAGGAAATCAACAGTCATTTCATGAGGGTCCACTGGTTTATGAAAAAAATCACTGAGAGGTGGAGTCTGGGCTGTGCCTCCTGCAGGGTGGAGAGGGGCTGTGCTGTGCACGGCCGTGGGTGGACACTGCTGCTGCACATGGTGGTTCACTCAGCGCTGAAGGGGAGGCTTACTGCGTTCTGGCACCGGCCTGGCCAGCCACCCTGCTCTGGAAGTCGGAAGCCTCGTGTTTACGCCTTTGCAGTTAGGACTGAGCAAACCATCCAGAAAGGAGCAGGCTTCTCCTGACAGTGCATGGAGTTCAGCTGCGCTTAGTCCTGCTTGTCATGCACGCTGCTGTTTGGCTTTTGTTTGCAGGTGCGCATGTTTGAAAGGCAGAGATCAAGAGAGGGAGAGACACAGAGCTTCCGTCTGCTGCTGCACCCCCCCAAATGCCTGCGGAAGCTTGGGCTGGCCCAGGCCAAAGCCAGGAGTCTGGAACTTCCTCAGGGTCTCCCACGTGGGTGCCAGGAATCCAAGGATGTGGGCCATCGTCTGCCTTCCCCCGGCACATTAGCGTAAAGCTGGATGAGAAGAAGAACCAGGGCTACCAGGGTCCCGAGTGGCAGCTTAATCCACTTTGCCATGGGACCTGCTCCCTTCCCCCCCAAACCATGCTTAGTATGTGCCAGTCTGTGTATGTATTGTTTTAGTCTGCCAAATAGCTCAGGTAAATAGCCACTGTTCCCATTTTACAGATGAGGAGAGTCGGGGCACAACACTTATCGAAGGTCACATAGGCAGTAAGTGGTAAGGTCTGGATTTGAACTTGGGTGGTGAAGCTCATTTTATCACACAGTGCTTACTCTGCCATTGCTCTCTGGTTGGCCTAGTTTAGGGAATGAAATCTGAAGCTTGGGACAGTACTATATATATATGTATATGTATACTTTTAAGATTTATTTATTTTTATTTGGAAGGCATATTTACAGAGAGAAGGAAAGACAGAGAAAGATCTTCCACCCGTTGATTCTCTCCCCAAGTGGCTGCAGTGGCCAGAGCTGAGCTGATCTGAACCCAGGAGCCAGGAGCTTCTTCCGGATCTCCCACCCTGGGTCCAGGGTTCCAAAACTTTGGGGCCAGGCCACAAAGTCCTTCCAAAGTTCCTGCTTTCCCCAGGCCACAGGAAACTGCATGGGAAGTGGAGCAGCTAGGACACAAACCAGTGCCCATATGGGATCCTGGCAGTTGCAAGGCAAGAACTTTAGCCACTAGGCTATCCTAGCACTTGATATTTTTGTGTCATTTTGAAGCATCCTAGTCTCTCCACCAACATGCTGGTCTGTTTGCTGTCCTGCCTGGTCTGTATGTGTTTTATTCCAGGCACGTTATTGGGGGGGGGGGGGGGGGGGGGGAAAGTAAAGCCATTTTAAGGTATGAAAGAATATTCACTTATTCTGGAGCCTGTAATTGGTGTTAACAGAAGCCCTCATAATGGCTCAGGATTGGACAGGAGCATTTCCATCAAATGTGGAAACTTAGTGAGCAGAGCTCCATAGAACAATCTTCCTTGGACTTCTTAGGTGGGTCTCTACTGAACCACGGTGCTCGCCGTGCCCACCTCCCTGTGGTGAGGCTGCCCGCTGCAGGGTAGGCGGTTTGCTCATTTATGTGAACAGGGGTCTTCGTCTCCACCCACCGTGGCAGCTGGATGCTGTTATTCATTTTTCTCAGGGAGAAACTGAGGCACAGAGAGGTGACACACTTTTTTCCAGTGTCATTTAGGGCCAAGATTCCGGCTCTTAATTACCACAATTGGGATTTCAAAGTGGAGCCAGGTAATAACTTTTGGACAGCTGATTCTTTATTAAAGCTCAGAACTTTCCAGAGCTCACAACCCAATTAATGCAAAGCGAAGCAAAAAAGCAAATGAGAACTATGTCTGCTAATGAACAGTATTGCCTTTCTGTGTGTCAGTGCATCCCAGTGCTGGGCTCCAGATTCAGACAGATCCTGCAGACTGACACTAATGATCCATGAAGAGGCAGGCAGGGCCCTCTTTGTGCCAAGTGGCCCAAGGAGAAAATGCACTGGGTTGGAAATGAGTGTGCAAGGAGAAGAAAAGTGGTATCTGGTCCAGTGGGTTCCCTCTTGATCAGCAGGAATAATCTTGCCGTACTTTACATCACTAACCTGATCCAATACCAGAATCTTGAATGAAAAAAATGAAAATGTTGTTTAGAATATGATGTGCTTGAGGGTCTGGCATGGTAACCTAGTGGCTAAAGTTGCTTTGCATGTGCTGGAATCCCATATGGGCACCGGTTTGTGCCCCATACGCTGTACTTCCCATGCAGCTCCCTGCTTGTGGCCTGGGAAAGCAGTCGAGGACAGCCCAAAGCCTTGGGACTCTGCACCTGCTTGGGAGACCCAGAAGCTCCTGGCTCCTGGCTTCAGATCAGCTCAGTTGTGGCCATTGCAGCCGCTTGGGGAGTGGACCAGTGGATGGAAGATCTTTCTGTATATCTCCCTTTCCTTGAATGGAAGTGATAGGTGCAGGTGAGTGATAGAAGGGGGCGGCTGTAAAGGCACCTGGAGGAGTCGCACCCCGAGGTCTCACAGGGCAGGCATGGAGAAGTGGAGCAGGTCAACGCAAACCCATTCACCCGCTTCCTCTGGCTGAGGTAGCGCCGTGCAGCCCCAGCTGGTGATGGCAGAGAAGCAAGGCAAGCCTGGTGTTTTCATGTCTTGGGGATGTCAGAGCAGCTGGAAATCCACATTTCCTTGCAGAAACCCCAGTGTTGTTCAGCTCTTGGAGTTCCCCATCGCTGCCTCTGTGAAAGGCGTGTGACTCCTGCCCAGCCGAGGGGCTGTTTGCATGGACCCTGAGGGCCGTAGGTACTGAAGGTGTCCCCCGAGTGCTTGGCAGCCTCTCCAGTCGGCAAAGCCTGTCCCGAAGGCCTCAGGGAGGCGGTCTTGGCACTGCACATGAAGCTGCTCCCGAGGTTCCTAAATCCCATACTGCAGTGTTGATTCCGGTCCTGGCTGCTGTCTCCCGTCCAGCTTCCTGCTGCTGAGCTCCCTGGGAGGAATCAGGATGGTTCAAGTGCTTGCACAGCTGCCGCCCAGTGGGGAGACCCAGATGGAGTTCTGGGCTCCTGGCTGGGGCCTGGCCCAGCCCTAGCACTTGCAGGCATTTGGAGAGTGAACCAGCAGGTGAAAGTGTTTCTCATTCAGCCTGCCTTTCAAATAGATCTAAATGAAATAGATCTAAATATTTTTTTGTCAGCGTTCAAGAGGCCCCTGCAGTGAATGCAGTGGGCCGTTCACCCACTTCCTGCCTTGTGGATGCCAGCCCTTCCCATAACCTAGTTTCCCTGACATCCTTCACTTCAGGGTGGGTTCCCTCAGGCTCAGACAGCAGTCCGGGGTCCTCTGTCCTTTTTCTGCCCCACCTCCCCCCAATGAGTCCTTCCCCATTCTTTTTCAAGATCCCTCTGCTGGCCATAGTGGGTACTGTCCCAGTGTAAGGGAGGGTGGGAATTAGCCAAGATTTTGTGCAGAAGGCCAGATGGTAAATGTTTGTGCTTTGCATGCCCTAGTGTCTGTCACTGTCAACCAATTCTGCTCTGTGTCACCGAGACAGCCACCGACAGTACGTAAACAAGCGAGCATGGCTGTGTTCCAGTAAAGCAGCGGGAAAGGGTGGAAGCCCACAGTCCGCTGAGCACTGGTCTAAATCGGTGTTTTTTCTGTTGCCTGCTGACTGCTGTTGGCTGGGTGCGGAGCCTACAGCCAGGCCTTCCTGGGTCACTGCGGTACCCTCCTCCCAACCCTGGCTTTATGAAGTGCCTGGCACAGGGTAGGCAACCAGGAAGCATTTGTTGTGCAACTGAAGGTCCAGCTAGTTCTAGAGACTTCTTTGTTCTCCCCAGTCTGAGGCGTCTTTACACCCCTCCCCCACCACACCATGTCACCAACCCATAGTTCAGATCCTTTATTTATAATACCGTAATGACCTGTGAGCTGAAAGATCAGCAGGGACTTCTGAACTTTGCACTTAAGATTTCCTGCTTTTTGGGGACAGTTCCGCCAAGTAGAGATAACTTTGTAACCGCTATATAGTCTGAGTTGAGAAGTATATTCTGCCGTGTGTGGATTTCATGAGTTGTTCCATGTGGCTCCTTCATAGCACATTGCAACGCCGTGTTCATCCATGTTGCTTGCTGTGAGTGGTTCATTGGATTTTCACTGCTGAGATCTGAGTGAATGTTTGAGAGTTTATTTACACAGTCACCTGCCAATGAACACCTGCATTACCCCAGTTTCTGGCTGTTGCTAGCAGTGCCTCAAAGAGCCTTTCTTGGCCGTATCTCTCAGAGTTCTTCTGAGTACCTACCGAGTAACCAAGTCTAGGCACTCTTGCCCTGCCTCACACAGTTGTGACTGTCTAGAATATACTAAACTAAGCCAGGCATCCAAGTTCCCATGCCGGGGACCACCAGACCTTGCAGATCCCAGGTCTCATTTGTGTTGTGTTCCTTACCCATGGTGTCTTCTCTCTCCAGATTCTACTGGAATGCTGGGCCGCATCATCTTCGCCTGGTGGAAGGGGTGAGTCTGTCCTGCCAGCCAGGGGATGGAGGGTAGCAGCGCCTGCAGCAGTGATGTTGATGGTCACAGCGTCAGCCGCTGTGCTTTTCGGGGTTCAGGGACATATCTGCACCACATATGGCACACATTGCCTGGCTGGCATTGCCTCCAGCCACTCTGTGTTGTCTCTGAGCCTTGGAACAACCTTGTAGGGAAGGGTAGCCCTGAGTGTGCAGTTGTACAGATGAGAAGTATCTGGAGAAGGAAAATGACTTTCCTTCAGCTCCATACACACCTGCAGCTGTGTGATGAGATTGCCACAGAATCAGGCGTGCGGCTTTACTGGGCAGAACCCAAGCCGGGCTGTGGTGTTCAGGAGCTGCCCTGTGTGTGCTTCGCAGTGCAGGAGTGCTCTGTTCCTCCTCTCCTCCCTGCCAGACTTCAACTATCAACTTCGGGTTGTGCTATAAACTCTTTAAGTTTGTTTATTTGAAAGAGAGATTGATCCATTCCCTAACTGCTGGCTCATCTCCTAAAGCCTGCATTAGCCAGGGCTAGACCGAGCCAAAGCTGAGAACTGGAAACTTAATCCAATTGTCTCCCGCTATCACCTATTGCCCTCTAGGATTAATGTGAATAGGAAGCTGGAATCACAAGTGGAGCTGGCCCTTGAACTCAGTCCCTTGGTTAGGGAAATGCAGGATTCCAAGCATTGTGCACCTAAAGCTCAGCCCCAGTGCTGCAGCGTCCCCTGCTGCTGGGAACTTCCAAGAAGGACCTCCAAGTGTTTGTGCACAGGAATCCTGACACAGGAACAGGAGAGGGGGTTACTTACCTGCTGCGTTGTGTAGTAGAAATACCCTGGGCCTGAGTGTTGGAGCCAGCTCTTTCTCCTGGCCTTTGTCACCTGCACTCAAGTGACCAAGGAAATCATCCCTCTAGCAGGGTCACATTACTTACGACGTGCAGCGTGTATCATGTGCTCTCAATCCAGAGTATGTGGGCTCATCCCTGGCTGCTCCTGGCAAACCGGGGAGAAGAGGGGAAGCAGGGCGCCCATGAATAGCTTCCCTCAAAGGGTGCTGGGGAGTGGGGAGCAGCCACAGAGCACTCAGGGTTTTCCTGAGTCATGGCTTGGTAAGGAGAAAACACTGTGGGTTCGCTGGAAAGCCCCATGGCCAATGACTAGCTTTAAGACAGCAGGGAGAGGGTGTGGGGACAGTGTCTGGCTGGCTGGGTTTTCCTGAGCCCATCAGACTTTAACTGTTGGGCTAGGGCACCCCACTCTGCCTGCAGGAAGTGTTTTCTCCTTACATCTAAATTGCAACAACCTCTCTTCCCCAACAGGAGCAAACTGGACTGTAACGCAAAGCAGTGGAGGTGAGGAGGGGCTGGGACTGAGCAAGGGAAGTCCTGCATGCTGAAGGACTCCCACCTCTGACTTCTGACCTCTGCTCCCTCCCCCAGGCTTTTTGCTGACATCCTCAACGATATAGCCATGTTCCTGGAGATTATGGCTCCTCTATTCCCAATCTGTTTCACCATGACTGTCAGCACCAGCAACCTGGCCAAGGTAGCCATCTTTGGAAGCACCCCTGCCCAAGAGACCTGCCTCGGTAGTGCTGGGTGTGAGCTTCCCTGAGAGAGTGGGCAAGCTCACAGGGTTCTCACGCCCAGCCACGCACTGGGTAGAGGACGTTCGGCTTCCCTGGGACAATGTATTCGTCAATTTTTCCTCTCCATAACAAGATTCCCAAGATGAGCCACTGATGAAGGAAGGAGCTTTATTTTGAGGGGTATGTAGCCCAAAGTTAATTCAGCTGTCTGGAGAGCTGGCAGATGTAGATGGCAGAGCAGGTGTGTATGGAGGGAAACATGTGGTAAGCCAGGAGGCATAGGAAGCAGGCCCCTCTTCCATGCGTGTGGCCTCTGCTGTAACGCCACCATGACTGTCTTAGGGGGGCTGTGCCCTGACCACTACATGCAGTCTCTCTGCTTGCCAGAATTCCTGCCTTCAGACCCTGCAACGAGGTTACATTTCCACCCTTCGTTCCTTGCCTATTAGCTGTGGTCCATGAACATGAGACTTTGCAAGCCCAGCCTTTCACACACGGGCCTTCAGGGAAACCCAAACTCATTCCCAAGAGTAGCACTCGGGCATCACCTGTTGTAAGCATCCGTTCGCCTGTCCCAGGGAAGAAGCCATGTGCTGTGTCTGGACACGGCCTTCAGATTCCGCGCTCACCTGCTCTGTTTCTCTCAGGATGAGAACTTAATAAGACTTACAAGATCAGCTCTCTGCTCAGCCACATCAGCGTCATTTTGTACCACATGTCTTGCCTTTTCATAGACTTTCTCTACCCATGGAGTAACTGATTGGTTTTATCTGTTAATCTATAAAGCTGCACCAGGACAGATTCCATGTTTGGTTGGTACTGCAGCACCTCAGTTGCTTCTGGCATCTGAACGCGGGCTGGTGGGCTGCAGGATGAGTGAGGGGGACCAGGGACCCTCACCAGTGAGCTTCCCCATCTTGAGATCTTGGAGGGAGATATTTGGCTACCCTGGTGGCAGGGGTGGCAGTCAGGGCCACCAGTGTATGTTTTGAAGTGGGTTGCAAGGTTAGCCAGGGCCTTATGGGGCTAGGAAGTGTAGAGGAATTGAGGTGAGGTGGGGTGTCAAATAATGCAGGAAGCAAAGCTGGGTCTGGTTGCTGGACAGTGCAGAGGACACAGCCAAAGCAAGCGTTGGGGGCTGGGGAACTTCTGGGCTAGGAATGACCTTGGGGCCTCCACCTTGGGGAAGGAATTTCCTAGGGACCAGATTGGTACGCAAGAGTGCAGGAAGGACTTTAGATTTCTCATGGAATGAGACAGGTGTGCTTAGAGGAACCATGAGACAAGGACAGCCTTCTGGGGTTTGCCCTGGCGTCACTGCATCCGTGCCTGGTTTGCTCTGGTTGGTGGGAGCCGCATGCCTGGCTGACCCAGGCACCCGTGTTGTGCACAGCCTGTGGCTGCCCTGACCTGAGCCCTTCCCTCTCCCTACCCAGTGCGTTGTCAGTGTGGCTGGCGGAGCTACACGAGCTGCACTAACTGTGCACCAGGCGCGCAGGAACAACATGGCCGACGTGTCAGCCAAGGACAGCAGCCAGGTAAGCAGTCGAGTGGAGGGAGGGTGTGCCAGGGATGGAGCTGGGGTGTAGACCATGCCACACTGTGGTGTCTGGAGAGGAGCAGCTAAGCACCCCTGGGGAAAAGGGGCAGAAACCTAGGTGCTGGATGCTTTGAGTCTCAGCACCTCGCCCCAGCACTAGGGCACAGGTGCTGGTGGCAATGAGTCCAGCCCATTCTCATATCCCTGCCAGTTATGTGTGTGGCTGGAGTGAGTCCCTGCCTCCACTCAGCCCCCAGCCGCTACTCCAACCTGGGAGCTGGATGTTCTGGGCACATGAGGGCTTCTGCATGAAACTCTTGGCACGTTGAAAGGTGTTCATTCTGCATGTTCGCTGGGGTCATGGGCTGGAGGCAGGCGCTCAGCAGTTCAGCAAGCACTGCCTCTCCACCTTACCCAGCAAGTGGCTGGTGACGCCTCTCAGACCAAACCTATGGCACAGGAGTCCCACAGCTCCTGACTAAATGCTTGTGTGCATCATGTGATGTGACCATGCCAGGCTAATACTTGGCGAGCATCAGCCATGTGCCAGGTGTTTCGCTTCTCTGAGCTCATTAAATCCTTGCTCTGGTCTTGTGTAAGGACTCACTGCGGCCATCTCAGCTGAGGGAATCAAGCATGGTGCATTCCAGTCCCCCTGGTCAAGTACCTTCTTACAGGAAACAACAGAACCCATTCTTTCCCTGTATCTCCTCTGGCCCTAAATCCAGGGGTGAAGGAGGGAATCGCACATCCCAGGCTCTGCTCTTCAGGGCCGTGTGGCTCTGTGCCCAGCCTGCTTTCCCCTGCTCTCTTGCTGGCTCCCAGCACTCCCAACGCCCCCAGGCTGTTCCCTCCTAAGGCTCCAGACTTTCTCAGCGCATAGCAGCAGTGACATCACAGGACAGGTGCTTTACTCCACCTGCTGCTTAGATCTCCTGGTTGGCATGCTGTACGGCTGCTAGAGTGACTGCTCCCGCCATGGGCAGAAGAAGCAGCTCCCCAGGTCCCTGACCCAAGGCATGCCCAAGTTGGGCCTTGGCGTAAGCCACCAATAAGAATTGTTCCTTATTTATGCAGTGGTGCGTGTCTTGAGTGTGGGCTACACAGATAACTCTGCAAATTGAAGATGTGTTAGAGTCACTGTGTCTGCCCAGGCAGAGGAGCAGCTGGTTTCCTTTAACTGACAGCTCACACCCCAGAAACCTTGACCATGTACTTGGCAGCCCCGTCAGAGCAGCAGGGAGGAAAGCAGTGAGAGAACTTGGGATGTTTGCTCAGGTCTAGAGGGGGCCCTCCGACTCCCAACCCCTCTGTCATTTTTTAGGAGACACTGGTGAACCTGGCGGGACTCCTCGTCAGCCTCTTGATGCTTCCTCTGGTATCAGGCAGCCTCAGGTAAGCCAGGAGCAAGGGCGGGCGTTGATGCTGGCCGGTCTGGTGCCCGCACTGGCCACTTCACTTTCTCGCCCCAGCGTCAGCCTCGGCTGTTTCTTCTTCCTCACTGCCCTCCACATCTACGCCAACTACCGGGCTGTCCGAGCCCTCGTCATGGAGACCTTGAATGAAGGCCGGCTCCGGCTGGTCGTGAAGCACTTTCTCCAGCGGGGAGAGGTGCTTGACCCCACGTCAGCCAACCAGATGGAACCACTGTGGACAGGTGCCCAACACCTCACTCTTGAGTCCTGTGTCTCCCCTACCTCTCCCCCTGCCTGGGTTCCTGACTCCAGCTTCCTACAGGTTTCTCACCATCTCCATCTCTCTCCCTGGGGGTCCCCCTACACCGTTTGATATCCAGGTGAGTGGTCCAGTGCCTTCTCCTCCTTGTAACTGCCACCCACAGAGACTTGGGGCTCCTGGGTTGGTTACATATTTCCCCCACCCCCTGCCCTGGCCACATCCTACCTCTCTGTTCTAGATTCTTTACTTGTACTGATTAGACCTGGAGTTGAGTGGAGGGGGCAGCAGTGGGGTAACTCAGAGGAGATACTCGGATGTGTTTGTTGGGGAGGAGAAGGATGGATGGACAGGGAGCACAGCTGATGGACAGGAAGAAGACGGATTGGTGGGAAGTGAGTGAGGGACTCCGGGAGTTTGCCAGGGAGCTTGACAGCTGTGGCTACTCCCTTGTCTCTATTCTCCCCTTCCTCATTGCCCCCTCGGCCCGGCCAGTGTCTCAGAGCTGCAGCAGCTGATTGAGGGGCACCAGGAACCCTACCTGCTTCGCTGGGACCAGTCACGAAGTGAGTGTCATATTTGCCCAGCTTTGGCTAGCTTCTCATTATTTGTGGACTCAGAGCACCAAGCCTGAGCTGTGTGGAGGCTGCTGTAGTGGCCCAGAGGATGCTCCGGTGTAGGACTTAGATGCATACAAGTCCCTGGCCCAGGGTAGTTCTCTTTAGCCCTCTGTAAGATGGCAGTAACAATACCTGCCTTACTTCCTGTAGCGTTTGCCTGACAGTCAAGTAGAAAGGCACTTGGCGCATTGCCACACATGCACGTTGGGACCTTCAGCCTTCCCGAGTTGCCTCTGGGGGGATCAGGCCCTTGACTCTGCTCATCATTGTGGGCTGGGGATTAAAAGTGCTTAATTATCAAAAGCCGTGACAGCCTGCCTCCCGGAGCTGCTGTGAAGCTGTATTGGGGGATTTGGAAACAGGGCATATCTGTTTAGGGGAGGAAAGGGTGAGAAGATGGCCTTCCAAGGCCCTGGCAGACAGGTGTGAGGCAGGGTGATGGGTCGGGGTGTTTGATGTCTATTCTTTCCTGACACTGGTCTGTCCCCGGCTCTCTAGACCAGGTACAGGTGGTCCTGAGCCAGATGGCAGGCCCCGAGACCATCCTAAGAGCTGCCACACATGGGCTGGTGCTTGGAGCACTGCGGGGAGATGGACCCCTTCTGGAAGAGCTGGACGAGCTGAGGAGCCGGCTGCGGGCAGGTGGGGGCCTCATCCATGTGACCATTGACGGCACAGAGCCAGAGAGGGATGAGTGAGGCACGGTCTGCCTGCCGGGGCCCAGAGAGCTGCTGCTTGTGCCCTGCAGGTCCTGAGAGAGACAGCTGGGTTGTGGTGAAGGAGACACACCAGGTGCTGGATCAGCTCTTCCCAAAGTTTTTAAAAGGTAACATCCTTCAGCTCCCAGCTCTCTGAGGCTTCTGCCGCAGGAGCCCACCTGGGAACGGAAGCACCTGGCTTCTCTTGGTGTTCCGAAGTTCAGGGCCTGGTCATACAGCGCCTCTGAGGCTGTGTGGTACTGACTCTGTGATCCTGGCTGGCCGTGTGGGGAGGGGCTCCCCCGGACCGATGTTGACCTCTGGTTTACAACCTTCTCCATGCTAGCCTTTCCCTCATGCTAGCTCAGCAGAACGGGTTTTCACCTTGTTGTGTCCGAGGTCGTTGGCCTGCAGAGCCAGCCCGCGGGACCCCTGCCTGGCATCCTCACAGTATCCCAATGCCCTCCTCTGCCCCAGGGCTGCAGAATGCTGGCTGGAAGACTGAGAAGCACCAGCTCGAGGTGGACGAATGGAGAGCCTCGTGGCTCCAGTCTCCAGAAAAGAAGGTCTTGTGAGCATTCCAGACGGAGGCCCGTGCCCAGCACCAGAGTCTGGAGCAAGGATGCTGGCCACAGCAGGGTGTGGGGACGGCAGCTTTATTTGTGCTTAGGGAAACTGCTGTGGCAGGTTCGCTGAGACCTCATGATGGTGCTTGCCAATCAAATGGACTGGGCCTCAGGTGAACAGAAGGGGAACCCGGGCCTTCTCATCCCACTCCTGTCCCTGCCCCTTTTCCAGGGACTGCCACAGACCCCCTGTCCCCACTCACTGTGAGGTCAAATCTTGTCCTGAGCGTAGCTTACTGCACAGCCTAGTTGGCTCTAGGCATAAAAGCCCCAAAAGAACATGGCCACAGCCATCATGAGCAGGGCATTGAGGTTGACCACACGGGACCAGCGGGGGTCCTCGCTGATGTCTTCCAGCTGCCTGGCTGCTGCAGCTGCCTCCTCCTGGGTTGGGGGTGCAGGACCACCTGCCCCATCCTTGTTCATTCCACAGAACCACCGCAGGCACTGGTGGAATAGGCCTGGGGCTGGAGCCTGCGGCTCTGGGAGGAATTGAGGCCCAACAGTTAGTTTGAGGGAACTTCGTGCCTCTCCCTGCCCAGTTCCCCTGTCAGTCCCATGTCCAATGAGGGCAGTGCTATACCTTCCATATCCACCACGTGCTCTGGGCGCCCGTTCTGGACTGGGGTCGAATCTGAGGCTTGCAGCTCATCGGCATCCAGGTCTTCCCGTTCCTCCTTGCTGTGCCGGAGACTGAAAACCAGGCGGTGGAGCTGGGAGGGTGGGAGCAGGGGCCGAGTGGGAGTCCCGTTCCCGCACCCCTGGTCCTAAGGTCTCTTGTTCTGTCACACCAGCCCTGGGACTGCCCTCTGTCCAGTGTGCACCCAGCCCAGGCTCTGCTTGCTCAAACTTGACTTTGACTCGGCTGGTCCTTGACCTAATGCAGACCCCAAGCTTCTGATCCCTGCTCACACCTTTTTCCTCCCTCCCTTCATCACCCCAAGTCTCTGTCTACACTACAAGTATACTTTGTGCTCTGGTCCTCCCAGGCCCACTGCCCGCCTCACTCAGCCCTGCCTGGTGGTGCTTGGCCTGCAGCTGCACAAAACCAGACCCCTTTGTGAGCTTTCAAGAGGGCACTGTGTCCCTGGCCCCCAGTCAGGTCCCGTGGCCTGAGTCCCAAAGACTATGTCAAAAAGGTTGGCTTGGGAGGGGGCTGGCCGGGGTTTTAATTGCCAGCTCTACAAAGTCTTCAGGCTGCCTCTGCCTAAACCACTAAAAATAAGTGTCACTGAAATAAAAATGTGCTTACTTTGGACTCCAGCCTGCTGCCACACACCCTCAGTAGGGCCAGGTTCCCCCTCCCCCAGGGCGGGGCTGGAAGTGGCAATGGTTGCCCTGGCGCACAGAGGAGCTTTTCTGGGGTACCCATGCCACCCAGAGGCTGCCACTTACGTGCTTGCGTGGGATGGGTGGGGTACACAAGGAGACGATGATGATAAGGAGGCCGGAGCAGAGGAAGAGCACAATGGCGAAGTAGAGGTAGTGCACCCGGCACAGGAATGCCGGGCAAGCTGAGGGGCGCGCGCAGCTGCCCGTGCCAAAGGAGAACTCGGGAATAAGGCGTGCTAGCCCCATCAGCAGGCCCCCGATCAGTCCCCAGAAGGCACCCTGCAGGGGAGACAGTATCAGCTGGTGCAGGGGGTACCAAACCCTGGTCCAAGATTCCAACCATGCATGCTGTTGTGCACGCACCTGCTCGTTAACGCGAGGCACGAAGAGCGCCAGTACGAAGACTGCAGACACGGGAGGGGCCAGGTAGCTGGAGACGGACTGGATGTAATCGAAGAGCTGCCCACCCTGTGCCGCCTGCACCACAGGCAGCCAGGCCACTGACACGGCCACGATGAACACCACCCAGAGCCTGCCATGGATAGCCAGCCTGAGATTGTACCCTGGGTGCCCCAGTGCCCCCACCCGGGCTGGCAGGTTTTGGTAGGAGGTGTGGCAGGATGGGGGAGCCCAGGCCGTACCGTCCTACTAGCAGCAGCTCGCCCTCACTGGCACGGGGGCGCAGGCGCGTGTAGATGTCCATGGTGAAGAGTGTGCTGCTGCTATTGAAGATGGAGGCCAAGGAGGACATGAGTGCGGCCAACATGACTGCCAGCATGAGTCCACGTAGTCCTGTAAGGGGAGCAGTGAGGCTGGGGGAGGGGGCGCCTGGAGGCCGGGGGCTCTGGGTGTTCCCTGCCAGGCATCTCTGCCCACCAGCCCTCACCGTTGGGCATGAGCTTCACGACCAGCCGCGGATAAGCAATGTTGGAGCAGCCTACTTCCGTGCCACACACACGTTTACACACCTCGGGCACTACGCAAGCCACCTCGTCTGCCAGAAAGAGGCCACCGTGTGGCTAGGACCGGGTCTAGTCTGGGAGCCTGACTCCTTGAGATGGGAAGTAAAGATCCTAGTGGATGGATAAAAGGGACCTCCCTCCTAGGAGGTGGGAATAGGAGATGGGCACACAGGGACCCTGGCGCAAGAAAGGGGGTGGGACTAACATTACCCGGGTAAAGCACGCGACTGATCATGCCCGGCATGACCATGAGGAACATGGGCATGAGCTTCAGGTAGCCACACAAGATGCAGCCTGCCTTGATGTGGGTCAGGTTCTTCCCAGCCAGGCAGCGCTGCACTATGACCTGTGAAGAGGGGTATTCAACTCCCAGCAGCCGGTCCCCACCCTCACCCCTACATACCTTCCTGCAGCCTCCTGACTCCACCAACTGGCCCAGCAGTGTCTCCAGCTCAGCTCTATTCCCAGGGATCCCTGAGATCTGGCTCCAACTAACTGGTTTAGTGTCACTGTGGCCTGGTTCCTACCTGCCCCCTTGGAGGTAGGTTCAGGCTACACCTGTCAGCTTTGCTCCCTGGCCCCCCACTGCAGCCCAAGCTCTAACCCCACACCTGGTCACTGCACCAGTACCAGCCGGAGACGATGGTAAGTCCCACAAGTAGAGCAGGCCACGGCAGGTCCCCTGTCACAGGGTCCCGAAGCAGGTGGTAAGAGTCAGGCCGGGGTTGATAACAGGAGCTGGAAATGTTGCCCACAGCCGGGTCCTCTGAAGTTGTCAGCGAAGTCATCGCTCCCAGATATTTGTCGAAGAGTCCGGAATACCCGCCCACCTCATGGAAGGCTGTGTGGGCATCGACACCAAAGCCCTCCTTAGGACCCACATGCCCTAGGGTTAAGACCCTTGCAGCCATGACCTTGGGTGCCCTCCCCTGCTGACTGTGGTCCTTACCGTATCCTGTGAGGATGAAGGCCCCTGCAATGATGACGAAAGTCTGCACTGTGTCTGTGTACATCAGCGCTGCCAGCCCTCCTGCAATAGGCCTGGCTCAGTGGGAACAGCCCCGAGGGTGATCTCACAGATAGGAAAGGGGTGTCACTCTCTGTACAGCAAATTTCAAGCCGACAGCCAGTCTCCCCCCACACTGTGCATTTGGGCACTGGGAAGCCTGCTCGGAGTGGAGGGACTGCATGGGTTTTAGACTTCACTGATGCCCTCCTGGCCAGGCACCCCCTATAAGCTTCCACTGGGCCCCAGTTTCTTGTTTGGGCAGTAGACAGTTCCATGCCATCCAGGTCCGGCCCTTGGGCCCTCCCTATTCTGGTCCCAATCTGACCTCAGCCTCCACCCCCAACTTTGGAGACCCTCAGAACAGGGCTGGGCTGGGCTGGGTTGCTGGAAACTAGCCAAGTCCTCTGTAAGGACCACAGCTGTTCAGTATTCTGCACCTCCCCATGCCCACCCCAGTCCCTTCTCTCAGGTTCAACCTGGTCTGGGTCTTGCAAGGTTCAGGTCAAATTCCAGGCACTTAGGGAAGGGAGGAGAAAGAGAGAGAGAGGGCTGCCTTAGGACAGTTCTGCCCCTGCAGGGGTTTCTGTGAGCCATATCCACAGCTCCCCTCCCATGTACATGCATATGTCCCCATACTCTAGGCCCCTGCACCTGTTACAGTGTAAATCATGGTGATGCCCAGCAGAGCAATGACCGAAGCATAAATGTTCCAGCCCAGAGCCTGCTGAATAAACACGGCCCCGGAGAACATGTCCACCTTGGAGGAAGGAAGGAGAGAGCCCACAGGTCAGGACCCTGGGACCAGAGCAGGGGCCCAGACGTCCTTAGCTGACCCTACTATGCTTCCATGGCTCACTGATGTTCCCACTCACGGGGTCGTTGCTCCTTCCCCCGGTTCTTCTCTCCCCGCTCCCCCGCAGACCTCCACTAGGTGGCCCTGGCCTGCGAGGATCCCGCCCTTGCCCTCCGCACGTGCGCACCGAGATCTTGGTGAAGATGTACAGAAAAAGCGAGAGCACCGACAAGTAGAGGCGGATGCGATGGCCGCCGAAGCGCTTGCGCAGGTACTGCGGCATGGTAATGACACCCGCGGTCAGGTACACCGGAACGAAGAGCCAGCCCAGGAGTAGCACCACGAACAGCGCCTGCAGGCAGAGTGCCACCGCAGAGAGCGACCCTGGGGCCTGCCCTCCTGCAGGGAACCAACGCCTCCTTTGGAACTTGCGCCTGGGATGTGCCGCACCTGGGCTCAGAGGAGAGCTGTGCAGCACCGCCCGCCCTGGGCCTTGGGCATGCAGGGACAGCGTGAACACCTTCCTGGGCCTCCTTGTTCCCTCCCTTTCCACAGCTGTCACTCTTGGCCAGTCCCTCCCGGGGGGGCGGGGTTCCCGTGTGCCCCTCACTCCCGCCTCAAGCTCAAGCACGGTCCCTGGGGGGTGGTGTGATGATCAATAAAAGAGGGTCTCACATTCCATTCAAATCCAGCCACAGCCAAGCCGCTTGCAGCACCCGTCCCTGCCAGGCCCACAAAGTGGCCACTGCCGATGTTGCTGGCAAAGAGAGAGGCCCCGACCTGGGGGGCGGGGATGGTGGGGCTGAGCCTGGGGGGGTTAAGGCAGGCTTCCTGGGCCCCCTTCCCTCCCATGGCCCAGCCCCTCTCACCGGCCACCACACCATGCTTCGTCCTGCCAGGAAGTAGCCACCGACAGTGCCTCTGTTGGTTCTGCACATGGACTGGGAGCGGGGAAAGGTGAGAGAAGTCGGGGGGGAAGAACGAGATTTGGGGCACATCTTTGGACCTCGTTAGCCTCCTCATCACATTCCTCAACCTTCTCTGAGGCTGAAGATTAACCAGCACTCAACTCCCCTGATTGTTCGCACCCCACCCCCAACCTCCTCTCGGACACCCCAATCCAACCGGGTCCTGAGCCTAGTGTCCAGCTTCGCAATCCCGATCGGCTTTCCTGGGAGCCTTGGACTGAGGCTGCTGATTGGCTGAGATACGGACAGGGAGCCACAGACCAAATTAGAATGCTGACCCCAAAGAAAACCCACTGGGTCCGGCGCGATAGCCTAGCAGCTAAATCCTTGCCTTGCAACCACTGGGATCCCATATGGGTGCTGATTTGTGTCCTGCCTGCTCCACTTTCCTTCCAACTCCCTGCCTGTGGCCTGGGAAAGCAGTAGAGGACTGCCCAAAGCCTTAGGACACTGCACCCATATGGGAGACCTGGAAGAAGTTCCTGGCTCCTCGCTTCAGATTGGATTAGCTCTGGCTGTTGCAGCCACTTGAGGAGTGGATGGAAGCTCTTTCTCTCTGTATCTCCTTCTCTCTCTTTCTAATGAAAATAAACAGATCTTTTAAAAATATAAAGAAAACCCACCGACTCCTCAACCAGCAGAACCCAAAGGAGGGTAGACACGCAACCGAGCGGCCTGGGCTTCCCCGAGGCCGTAGACAGGCTCCTGTGGCTCCTGTGCCCTACATTTCTCCCTCTGAGATGCAGAAATCCCTCCATGAGCTGCACCTGCCATTTTCCTAACACTCTTCTCCCAAACCCTAGAAAATCCAGGCTCCGGCAGCAGCCCCTCAACTTCTTACCCACAGGCCGACCCCAATGACCAGCAGGAAATACACAGCAATGACGGCTATGTCAGCAGGATTGTCAATGAGGGCCCGCTGGCCCCCCAGCGCTGGTGCAGAGCTGGCCTCCATCGGTGCCTCCCTTCTTCCACGATCTGCTCCTCAAGGGACCAGTCTCTGGATTCCCCCAGGGGAGGGATTAATGGTTACCTCAAGGGCAGTGAGCCGACAAGTTCCCCCAAGGTCGATTCCCCCCTCCCCAGCTTTATTTAGCTGAATCAGGTCCTATCAAGGCCGAAGGCTGCTCCTGGGGCCCTCTCCTTCCTGGCTCAGAACCATGCCATCCCCTTCAAATGTTGACCCAGCAGCCTCGAGACAGGGGGCCTGGTTGAGTCAGCGCCCCAGCTTCTGACCAATCCAAAGACACTGTTTCCAACCCAGTCCTGGCAGTGTGACCCCTCCATTCAGATATCCTCCCCAGGGTGTGTGTTGTGCTTCTGTGGGTTAAGCTAAAGCCCGTCAAAGTGCCACTTGGGTGATAGCAGATGATGGTCCGAATGCTTGCATTCCTGCCCCCTTCCTTCTTCCCTCCTCACTACAATCTACCCACATCATCTCCAATCCAGCCGTAGGCTTCTTTGTGTTTCTTATTTTATGTATTTTGTTTACTTGAAAAACTGAGAGAGAGAGAAAGAGAGCACCCACAACCACTGGCTTACTCCGCACACACCCACAACAGCCAGGCCTGCCATACACGTGGGAGATCAAAAATCAATTTCAGGCTCCTAACTTCACCTGGCCCAGGCCTGATGGGCACTTCTGGATGGAGCCACACCTCTGACCATTCCGAGAGAGAGTTTGGGGACCAAAAGGCAAGAACAGAGTGAGCTCGGATCCCAAGGATATAGGACTTGCAGGAAAGAGGAACAGGAGCAGGTAGGGGTGCTGGGGCTCTACTTTGCACTCTTCCTGGCTCCCCATCTGACTGTGCAGTCCAAAGTGGGTGGCTGCCCTTTCCAGCCTTGGGCGACCCTGACCCTTCCAGCACTAGAGGGATGTGGCTGCAGGTCCCACAGTGGCCCCGGGCCGGTGTGAACTTGATGCTGCGGGGATAGATCCGAGGTGCGTGTCCCACCACCCCCACCAAGGTTCCCTCCCACACGAGCACACAAACACTGCAACAGCGATATGTGGAATGTGAGTTTATGCAGGTAGAAAAAAAGTGCACTGAGCAGTGACGGGGTGGGACCCTCCAATTGCAGAGCCTGGCAGGACCCTTCCCCCCAAGGCTGGGGGATAGAGTAGGGCAAGATCTGGAGCAGAATCTCCTGTCACAACGGGACCAACCGGCTCTGGAGGAGTTGGCAGCAGGGTTGGCAGGGCCTTCTGACCTGGGCGGACTTGAGTACCTTAGGGGAGGGCCTCTCCAGGAGACTGGAGGTAGCCCTGCGCTCCAGGTGCTAGGCCTTGGTGGGCTGGAGGATCTGGCCGGCAATGGGCCTGTGGAGCCATGTGCAAGGAGCCGCGAACCCGGTGCGTCCTCAGCCGAAGAGCTTAAGGAAGCAGGGCTGGCAATAGGGCTTGCCCGCACGCTCCTGGAAGGAGCCCTTAGTGAGTGGGCGCAGGCAAAAGGTGCAGGTGAAGTGGTCCGGATGGAAGCGGCGACCCAGGGCCGACACACAGCGGCCGGTCACGGGAAGGCCACACGTGGCACACAGGGAGCCACGTCTTGCATGGAAATGGTTCTCACACAGCGGGCGGCCCTCGTGCTCAAAGAAGCTGCCTCCGGAGAAGGGTGCGAAGCATTCCTGGAGAAGGGCAGCAAGGCTTGTCAGCTGCCTCCATCCCGCCCCAAAGAGATGCCCCATCAGCATCCCAGATCCCCCTCCCGCCGCCCCGGCCCCGCCCCTCAGCCGCGCACCCTGCAGACGAAGCAGTCCGGGTGCCAGAGCGCACTGAGCGCTGAAATGTAGTTGTCCAGGATGGGGCCCTGGCAGCCCTGACAGCGAGGGGCGAACAGCTGCAGGAAGTCCCGGCGGCAGTAGGGGCGGCCCTCCCTCTCATGGAAACCTAGGGGTGTGGGAAGAGGCTCAGATCAAAGCTGCGGGCGGGGCTGACGCTGAGAGGCGGTCAGAGCTAGCAAAGGAGGTCTGGTCCGCAGCGGATGGGGCAGGAGCCCGCAGACCGGAGTAGTTGCCGAGGTCTGAGGTCTCACCCTCTTCTCCGAAAGGCTCCCCGCAACTGACGCAGCAGAAGTGCTCCGGGTGCCAGTGAGTGCCCAAGGCTGTCACCATCTTCTGCGGGAACCAAAGAGGACACTCAGGGGCGGCCAGAGCCTGGGTGACTGAGGGAGGAGGCACATCTGACAGGGACTTTGTGAGTCAGGGGGAAGGTGGGGGGGGCGGAGGGAGAGTGCTTTGAGGGCGCAGCGGCTGAGGAGGGAGGGGCTCACATGTCGGATGGGTTGGTTGCAGAAACCACAACGTGGCGAGAAGCGCTCGAAGTAGCACTCGGGGCAGAACGGGGCTCCATCCTTCTCGAAGAAACTGCTGCCTCCCAGCGCAGTGGCACAGCTGCCACAGGTGAAGTGCTCAGGGTGCCAGGCACGGCCCAAAGCTGTCACCACCTGCGGGTCGCGGTCGGGGAGGGGGAGGCAACCACAGGCCCAATGAGCAGAGATGTAGGTTTTTGATTCCTATCCCTGACTCACCAGGATGAACTGTCTAACATTCAGGTTGGTGGCACTTGTAAGTGATGGGGATTCAGTCCCAGGATTTATCCACCAAGCCACAGAAGACACACACGGCAGGCCTATGGTCCACTGTACTTTGGGGGAACCATAAAAAAAGTTGGCTTTCAAATTAAAAAGTGCATTAGAAGAACATGATTTAATATATACTATCACATATTCATTTCTGTGGAGATGAGGAACCAAGAAGATGAAAGTGGCTTGGGTCCAGGCTTTGCAGAGCGGCTACCTCCGGCTGGGGTGGGAGTCGGGCACTTAACCCAGCAGGAGACTGTGGATCCCTCACCGGGTGCAGCTGTTGCCAGTCACACCTGTGCAGCTCCCACTCTCCTCTGAAGGAGGAAGGACGGTCTTTGCAGATGCCTGTAAGCCTTTGCTGAAGATGACACTGAGATGGAGTTGGTAAAGGAGTGTGTGGCTGGCACATAGCAGGGCCAAGATGAACTGTACCTAGGATGGAATTTGTGCTCTTGCCACCTACTTGCTACATGACTGAAGTTTCCGGCATATCACACACAGACTTCCTGGAGTCATTTAAAGGGAACAGCACAAAGCCTGGCTCTATGGGGCCTCTGGATCCCACTTACTTGCCCAGCAATGGACTTATTGCAGGAGCCACAGAGGCCCTTGGCTTGGGTGGGGACACCACGGCGGCTGAGGTCAGACTGCAGCAGGCCCAACATGGTGTCCAGGCTGCCCTTGTTTGCCGGTGCTGGTGGGGATGGGGAAGTCTCATCCACTGAGTTCACTGCCCCTGTGGTCATCCCCGCTGGTGGCTGGGCAGGCGCCGAGGCTGGGAGCTGCAGTGGGGACACACAAGAGCAGTGAGTCAGCAAGGCAGCAGATGTGGAAGGATCCACAAAGAACTGAGGAACCCCAGTGGACAGCAGCCTCTACGCGGCCTGACTCACGTGGTTCTGGACGCGGAAATCAGAGAGGGAGGCCATCAGTCTGTCCAGCTCCAGAGTAGCTGATGTGGCCGAAGGCTTGGGGTGGGCAGGGGAAGGGCTGGGAGGGCTGTGCAGAACAAGGCTGTGTCATCTCTGAGTCTCCCAGGTCAGGGGCCCTTTTAAGAACTCACACATCTGGGATCTGTGCCACCTCCCGCCCAGCCTTACTGCCTGTGACAACACTCACAGGCTGGGTCTTTTCTCATCATCAGGTTGTTCTTCCTTCTGCTCTCCCGCAGCCATCTTGCTGCAGGGGAACTGAGACATTATTTCATCTAGAGAGAGGAGAGACAGCACTGGGCTGGGGCCACAAGAACCCACTCTCCCAGCTAAAGGTTTGTGGCTCTGTGCCTCTGTGATCTCCGCTCCACCCTGTCCCACCAAGGTACCAGCTCCCCAACCCTGGTACCTGTGATGTTGAACTGGGTGGCATTAAGTTCCTGAAGCAACCGGTCTAGCTCGCAGAGCCCAGTGCCCAAGACACCACTGGAAGAGGAGAAGGGAGGAGCCGCAGGGGCTGCAGGCTTTGGGGACCGGGGTTTGCATACCGTACTGAGAAACAAAGTGGGAGCCCGGGTTCAGCGTGGGGGTGCCCAAGCCCCACCCCCTATTCCCAGCCAAGCTCAGCACTTCCATCCTCATGGCCCAGTTCCCAGTTCCCTCACCTGTACAGGTGGTCCTTGTCCCCGGAGGCCCCGGAAGGCTCCCCAGAACCTGTCTACAGGGAGAAGAGAGGCATATGTAGGATGCCCAGCCTTACTTGGCTCTCTAGAGAGACCCAAACTCCCCAAACCTCACCCTTACGGCTGCATCGTCCCCAGCCTCTGATCTCACCTGTGGCTGCTGCCCATAGGGTGGCGGGGGTGTGAGCTGCTCTGGGGGGCGCTCTTTTGGAGCCCCTGGCCTTGGCATGTGTGAGGTGGTGGTTTCCAGGTCAGAAAGCAGGGCATCTGCAGGGAGAGGTCCTCTGGGTTAGAGACTGAGGAGTCATGTAGGGGCCAGAGAAATGAGAACTCCAAGAGGGCAGTATTTAAGGAAGGCAAAAGCCAGGATTCAAGAGCAGAGGTCTAGAAACAGATTGAAACATTGGGCCAAATCACAGCAGAGAAGGTGGCAAAACGTTATAAAAGTTTCTAATCAGAACATCCAGAATGGTTCATCCTGGGAATCAAGCACAGCCTAACTACCTGATTCTCTTTTCTGATTCTGATTCTGATTCTCTCCCCATCAGTCAATGTAGGTCTTTTTACTCAAGCTAAAGTGGGCGGCACTCCAAGTTGCTCCATTGGCTCCACGCGTGGCATGGAGCTTTCTGATTGGAGACTCTGCAACACTCACCAATTCCTCCCCTTACCTGGGCAGGCCCGTTTGCAGGGCCCGCCGGGTCCCTCCCAAGGCTCCTCATTGGTGAGCTGGCTGAGACCTGCTTTCCGATTGGCTTCCGCAACCCTGGGCCCGTTACTCCTACTGAGGCGCAGCCTCTACTGCAGGGTGCGGGAAGCCCCTTGGCACAGCCCTTCCAGTCACAGGCACGGCCAACAGGGAGGACAAGATACCTGGGTCCCCGTCCTGACCCCAAGTGTCTCCTGGACCCCGGACCGGTCCGTGGAACTCTTCCCCTTCCAGAACTTTGGAGTAGTGGTCCTGCTAACTCCTGACTCCGAGCATCGTGGTGGGCACCGGAGCTTTCTCAGTCATCGTAGTCCTCCCCTTCCGCCTGCAATCATCTGTCTTATTTCCCCCTGTCCCCACCCCCCATCAGCACCGGGACCCCTGCCATACTCAGCCTCTCCTCCTCCTAAATGCTGTCACACTCTAACTCCCAGCAGTTTCTCGGTCCCAGGTCCAAAGCCTCGTTAACTCCTCCCTGCCCGGAGCCCCCGGTCGGAGCGCCCACCCGAGGCCAGGAGCCCGCGAGGGGAGAAGGGCGGGGGCGGCCAGCCTGGGAAAGGAAGGAAGGGAGAGGCAGGAAGAGCGGACGTGGAATCGGAAAGCCTGCGCCGGCAGAGGCCAGAAGCGAGGGGATGGGGAGGTGTGCTTGGCTAAGGAAGCGGATCCCGGCGGCGGCGGCGAGGGGCTGGCGACCCCGGACCCCGGGGAATCGGGGCCCCAACTCACCCAGGTCCTCCATGGCGGGGCGCGGGCGAGCCGAGTGGGGCGAGCAGGGCGGGGGCCGTGTCCGGTGGGGGCGGGGGGCGGGGGGACGTCCGGGAGCTGGAAGCCCGGCCGTGACCATGTAAGGAAGCCGGGACCCGCTGGGATGGCGATGGAGGGGGGTGGTGGGAGGCGGCGAAGAACCGAGGGAACCCGGGGCGGGGGCATGGACGCGAGGGAGCGCCACGGCCCTCCAAGGCCAGCCCCGCCGGCGGCCACACCCCAGCCTTGGCCTCAGCTGCAGGGAGTCCCAGGCGGCCAGAGCTCTTCCAGACCCAACTCCAGAGCCCCAGTCTGGTGAGGCTCGGAGACAGGGACGCAGGCTCCCTACAGACACCCCCCCCCCGCCCCGCAGGCAGCACAGAAGTCAGTCTAGCACAGCGCGGGGGGCACCCTGCTTGCACGATTCTGGAGAGATGGCGCCAGAAAGCATTTTCGAGCTGGGAGCTGGAGCAATACTGTAACGTGAGACTCTGATAAACCTAGTGAAAGTCATCCTTGCAGTCATCCTTGCAGACGCCAAGTCATCCCTCCCGGTGCTAAGCCAGGGTCTTCTGGCAGTCAGAGACCACTTGGAGGCCCAGGCCCCACTCCATGCAGACTTGGGGAAAAAGCATCTCCAGGAAGCCAGACCCCAACCAGCCCCCCATATGACCCTGAAGTCCCGGCCTAACATTGTGTCTACTCCAGCCTGTTCCCAAACCGGCCTTTCCCAAGCTACTGATGAGAGGCAGACAGGGTCCCGCCCCAGAGCAGGAGGGCGCCCTCTAGGGATCAGGATTTGAGAAATTAATGTGGAAACAAATTATCACCCAGAGATGGAAACTGGCAAGCACAAATAGGCCCACCTCAGCACCTTGCTGTAGGCCACGGCCAAGGGCTGAATCAGAACCCAGGGTGCTACTTATAAACAGGGCTGCTTCTTACAACTCGGCGAGTTTTTTATTACCTGCAGTGAAAAAGGGCCTCTGTGTGTTTTCACATGTGGCCTGAGAAAAGAGAAGACCATGCACACAACTGCCCAGAAGCAAGTCCTGCCAGATCCGGTCCGGGGCTCTCCTCAAGCCAGTCTGCTGCTCATGGTCAAGGATCTGGTGCCCAGGTGATGGACACCAAAGCTGTGTGAGCCCCTCCCTCACCTGGGTGTTGACCAGGGCTCTGGCTTTCTCTGGGCTACCAAGAATCCAGGCAGCAGGTGGCATTAAGGCACTTGGCCCGGAGGATGAAAATGAACTCAGGGATGGGTGATTCAGAGTCAGTAAACGAATGCCAAGGCCTCGGGCACACATCACACACCCATGGTACACCCCTCCGAGCTTGGCCATGGTCCCAGCTGGTGGTACCTGGCTGAGCCATGAGGTCCTCTCAACAGGGAGTAGATCTCCTTTGGGGCCTCACACGACATCCTAAAGAGAAGCCTGGTGACTCATCCCAGGGCTCTAGAGCTCCCTGGACAATGGCTTACTAAATGCTGTGTGCCCAGGGTGGCCTGTGTTAACTCACAGGGACATGGGCAGGTCCTGCTTGGTGGTAAAGGGGCAGGGCGGAGATAGGGGGAGCAGAAACACCACGTAACACAGGCTTAGACTGTAAAATTTTAATCTGTACCTCCGGAGCCTGGGCGAGGCCAGGGGCCTAGGGCCTTGGGCTGTTCTCCCGGGCCCCATGCCCAGAGCCTGTCCTTGACTTCTCATGGATCTCAGATCATCGTCCTGGGATCCAGATCTTCCCTCTTCTGCTTGGACTCTTTCCTGGCCACTTGGAGGGAGGCCTCCTTTGCAGACAATTCATTCTTGGGTCCCCCATCCTCCCAAGGGCCCTCAGCCATCCACGCTAGGGCCCTTGGCCCCTGACTCAATCCCCATCACCACGGCTAGTAACGCCTCAGTCAGGGGCCCTGCTTCCTCACCAGCTGCCTCCACAAGCCCCACTAGTGCCAAGGCCCGCTTCCGCGGACACTGGCCCGGCCCTAGGGTCCAGCGTGCACAGTGGGCAGCCAGCCGGGGCCGGCCCAGGCGGAACACCTCACCTACGGACTCAGGTGCACCTTGGGGCCCCAGGTGGATGCGACCCACGGCCTCCTCCAGCTCCTCCTCCAGGCTAGGCAGCAGGAAGCGGCTGGCAGCCTCCAGTGCCTCCTCAGCCTCTGAGCCCAGTAGCGGCTGGCCAGGTGGGGGCACAGGTCCCAGAGCAGCCCCGCAGCCCCGGCAGCCATGCAAATGATGCAAGACGGGCCAGGCTGCACTGGGCGACAGGCCTCGCAGTGGCACTAGGTCCATCTGGGCTTCGGCAAAGCTGCCGGACAGCAGGGCCCGGAAGAAAGGGGAGGCAGTAGCCGAGGCAGCTCGCTGGGCAGGGAGCTGGAGGCCTGAGTCCAACAGGAAGTGCAAGTCAGGAGCTGGGACGGGGGCTGGGCCCAGCAGAGGTTCATAGAGACAAGGAGAGGGTGGGCCTTGATCTTCGGGGGTTGCAGGTGGGAGGGCTGTGTTCACAGAGGGAGCAATCAGACGTTGAAGGCAGGAAAGGGAGTCCGCAGCAAAGAAGAGGAAGAGCGGGTGTGGGGCTGGCCGAGTCAACGCTGTGAGGAGGACACGGAGTCCGCCCTGGTCTAGGAGCAGCCGGCGCCACAGAGAAGGCTTCCTGTGGGGAGAAGGCAGTGGGGTCAGGCAGGCAGAAAAGGGGTGAGCCTGGGAGGGAGTACCTCACTCCCTGATCTCTGCCAGGCACTGCCTCTCCCAATCCTCCTCACCGACAGATGAAGGGCAGGGTCAGGGCACAGGCGACACGGTCCTCAGGGCTCCCAGAGAGCAGCAGGTGGGTGAGGGCACCAACTCCGAAAGGTGACTCAGCCTGCACGGTTAGGTTCTGCAGCAGCATCTCGCCTGTGCGCAGGGGGGAGGCAGGTCAGGCTGGGAAGTGGGATCCACCACCACTGGTGGGGGTTGGCAAGAAATGAAGACACAGAAGACTGGGGGTGACTACAGGGCTGTCAGGAACCAGAAGGCAAGGGAAAGAACATGGGGTGCTGATCTGGGGCCAGAAGGAGTACAATGGTCTGCAAGAAGGGCAAAACCACACTGCGTGGGAAGCAGTGCGTGGGCTGGGGCTCACAGGTCATTGTGCCCAGCAGAATTAGCCAGGCCAAGGCACAATCAAGTGCAGAAGAGATGATGGAATGCAGGCAAACAAGGTCTAGGTCACGGGCTAAAACTCAGGGGATGGGAACCTGGGACCCAAGGCTTGGGCACAGGACATAGCACAACTCTGCATGTTGGTGCTGTGGCACGGCCCTGCCCATCAATCTGGGAGCTGGGCTCATCTGGAAGGTTAGGGTTTGGCCAACAGGTAAGCTAGAAGGCAGGCTTTGGGCCTGCAGAAGACAAAGGGAAGGAATGGGAACCTGCATGTGGGCAGGGAGATAGGCATACCCAACTCTCGGTGCTGACTGCGGCGAGCAGGTCGGGCCCGGGCAGAAGGCCAGTCATCAGGTGCCACACCCAGCACCAGCCAGGCGCGCAGTAGTGCTGCGCCATAGCTGCACACGAAGGCCTCGAGGCAGGCAGGGTTGCAGGTTAGACGTGCCAGGATGCGCAGAGCACGTGGGCTGGGGGGGCCTGGTGCACCTGTCACATAGGCCAGCAGGCCACGGAGTGCTGGTCCCGTCACCAGCGCCCCACTTGGGTCAGGAGCCTGGGAGAAGCGCGACAGCAGCAGCAGCGCTGGCCCCTCGCGTCCCCAAGGTTCCTCGGCGGAGGCTCCAGCGGGGCTGTGGGTCGGGGTGCGCAGCGCACGTGGTAACCGTAGTGAGGCTGGGCCAGGGGTGGGGCTGGTGGCCTCTACTGGCTCTGGCAGGGGACAACGCTCAGGAGACCAGTCTGGAGAGATGTCTTCAGAGTCTGTAGCATAGCCTTCGGAGATCAGCCACGACCTGAGGAGGGCAGTGAGGAGAGGGACGCAACCTCTAAGCAAGGGGACGGGGCAGCCAGAAGCAACACTGGGTGGGCAATCAGTGCCTGCCAAGTGGGAACCTTGTACCCCTTGTCAGAGTGTCCATGTTAAAAAACTGGCTCTGCTCTGGATTCCAACTTCCTGGCAATTGTAGGCAACAGCTGTAGGACTGGGGTCCCTGAGCTGGTCCAACTATGGCTGCTGGATATTAGAGGATATGGCCTTTCAAATAAATAATAAATGATTTTTAAAAATCAATTATCTTTAAATATTTTTTTGTTTGAAAGGCAGTTAGAGAGACTGACTGATCTTCCATCCACTAGCTAATTCCCAAAATGGTCACTGTTTCTGAGACTGGGCCAAGCCGAAGACAGGAGCCAGGAATTGCATCTGGGTCTCCCATGTGGGAGGTAGGGACCCAAGCACTTGAACCACATTCCACTGCCTTCCCAGACATGTTAGCAACAGCCGAACTGGAAGTGGAGCAAACCAGACTCAATTGGGAAGCTGCTGACGCAGGTGGCTACTTAACCCTTGGTTCCACCACAGCAGCTACCCCCGACCCCCAAATAATCTGTGAAGCCGAGGGAGAGGAGGAGCACAGAAGGGGAGGATGGGGAGGAGAAAACCAAAGAGAATGGAAAAACCTCAGTCGGTAATTACTGATCAGTGCCACACTGTTTCAGAGGCCCCTGAGTGGAGAGCACTAACAATGTTGCTATTCTGGTGAGAAGCAACAAACCAGGGTAACAGAAAAGGCCAGATGTGGGGAGGGATGAGATTTTAAATGGGCTGGAGGTGGCAGCCCTCACTTAGGTGAGACCTACACAAGGCTTGGAGGAGGTGAGAGAAGCTGGCATCCACGGGTGAGGGTGGTTTCGGCCCTGGGCTGGAACTTAACCTTGTGCATTCACACAGCAGCAGGAGGGCCGCTGTGCAGAGGCAGCAAGGACAGGCGGGGGCAATGGGGCGTGTTTCGGACAAGGCTGACGTCACCTGAGCACTGCTTAGTGCCAGGGAAGGGGCCAGGTACCGTCACTGACACCTCACAGCCATCCCGGTATACACAGGAATCAGAGGCCCAGCTTGAAACTGATGGTAGAGCTGTTGACAAGGTTGGCATCCTACACTGCAGTGTGGGTTTGAGTCCTGCCTGGCTGCTCCACTTGTGATCCAGCTCCCCAGGAAGGCAGTGGAAGTACTTGGGCCTTTGCCACCCGTGTGAGAGACCCAGCTGCCTGACCCAGATCTGACTGTGGTGACCATTTGGGAAAGTAAAGTGGTAGTTGAAACATTTCTCCATCTCTTTGCCTTTCAAATAAACAAATTAAAAAAAAAGAATCTCTGGGCTCTACCTTCTATTGCACTTGCTTGGGGCTCAAAGTTCAGGAGTGTCGGGGGGAGGGCCAAGGTCAAGGATGAACCCAGGGAAGAGGAGGTATGAGAACAGGGACTGTGGAGTGGCCAGGCAAGGAAGATAGGAGTCATGAGTTAAACCCAGGACCCTCCCCACCCCCCCGACACAGTGGGGGCTGAGGACACAGCGCTGAGCAGACACAGCCCGGCCAACCTCCCAGTTCTCTGCTGGGGACTCACCGGAGGCTTCGGAGGCTTCCAGCCGCCACTCGCTCAGGGGTCCGCTCCTCAGGGAAGTCCCAGGAAGCGGCCTCTGTCCCCTCTTCTTCGTCATCGCCAGCCTCACCACACAGCTGCCCAGCCAGGAGAGGCACCAGCCCCAGAGCCTGGAGCCGACTTAGGGCTCCAGTATCATAGAGAAATCCCACAAGGGCAGCCACAATGCGTGGGTGCCAGGCGCTGGCACGAGGGTCCCGCAGTAAGCCCATCAACAGCTCTAAGCCACCAGCGTCCCGCAGCCGAGCACGGTTAATGGCCTCCCGGCAGAGGAGGCACACGGCTCGCACCAGGGGCTGCTGGGAGGCTGGGCTCGCCCCATTGGGGCCCCGGCGCCTCCGCAGTTCACTGAGCAGCACCTCGACACCACCTGCATTGCCCAGTGCAGGCCGCACCAGGCCCTGGGCGCATAGGTTGGCGAGGATCAGGATGGCTGCCTCTCGCACTGCCCGTTTGGGATGGGAGGCCAGGCTGACTAACGGGCCCAGGGCCCCACCCAGACTGAGCTGCTCAGCACAGGCCCGGGAACAGCCTCGGCTGAGTTCCAGGAGGGCCCGGACAAGGGCCGAGGTCAGCGCGGGATCCGGGGAGGCGGCCAGGAGCTCAGCCAGTGGGCGTACTGCTCCTTGCTGGGCAAGCGCCAGGCGGTGCTGGGGTGAGTCTGCCAGGTTGCGGAGGGCACGTACCACGCTTTGCAGGCACTGTGAGTCCTGGCATGCTGTGAGGCTCTCCACAAGCAGGGGGACAGCGCCTGGGGAGGGGAGGGAAGGACACACAGTGAGCAAGGAATGAGCCTACCCAAGCCCTTCTCCCATGCCAAGCCCTCGAAGCCTTCTCACCAGCTGAGTGGATGACTCCACAGCTCTCAGGTTCCACGGCCAAGTTCCCCAAAGCACGGGCTGTTCGGTTCTGGATGCTGTCCGCCTTCACACACTGAAGAATGGTCACTGCAAGAAGAGTTTGGCTTCTCGAGCATTCGACCCCTTACCGTCTCTCAGTGAGCTCAAGAAAGTGGACTCAGAACCAGGTCTGGACTGCAGCTAAACAGGCAGGTCTCTGCTACAAAGATGGTGGGCATTTCAGATCGGAAGTGGCCTTTGGATTTTCTGTGTTTTAAAGATTTATGTTATTTACTTGAAAGGCAGAGTGACAAGGAGGGGAGGAGGAAGAGACATAGAAAGTGTCTCACTGGTTCAGTTGCCAAATGGCTGTAACCTTTGGACCATCTTCTGTTGCCTTTCCAGATGCATCATCAGGGAGCTGGATCAGGAGCAAAGCAGCGAGCACTTGAACTGGGGCTGCAGTATGGGATGCTGGCAGATTAACCCACTGTGCCACCATGCTGGCAAGGTGCAGGGTTATGGCCCAGTGACTGTGCTGTGACTGCAGGAAAGGCCTCGAATGTCAGGCCAAGGGATCTAGGCTTGAATGTGAAGGCATTAGGAGCCCTCCAAGGACTGGAAGCAGGGGAGTGAAATGGTAGAATCTCGCCATCGTGAGAACAGACTCCAGGGAAATGGAGGGGACAGCGACCAAGAAGCTACCACCACAAGCCAGGTGCGGAAGGACAATGCCTTAATCGAGTGACCCAGCAGTCTCTAGGCACAGGGCGGAAGCAGGGCTAGAAGGGAGTGGGCGGGTTCAGGAGACAACTGAAAATTTAAAATAGCGAATGATGGAGGCTGCTGGCTAAAGCAAAACCTGTCATGCATAGGGCCTTGGCCTTATTTATCGGCAAGGTCTTGCTCAAAAGACATGAAGGGAAGATGCATTGTATGCAAGTTTTAAAACTTATTGATGCTTCACTGTATCCAAAAAAAATGAAGACTTAAAAAAAAAAAAAACTGGCGCAATTTTATAAGGGACAGACAGTAATGTGTATACTACGTCGCTGTCATTGCCACTAGGAGGCGTCAGCTTGGTTGGTAAACCGTAAAGCTTGTTTGGGTGGGATTTTCTCTTGCTGGTCAGTTTCTCCTTAGTGCCCCACCCCCATCTATCTTTAGTGTCTGCATTCTGTCCTGATCATTCGATTGCTCTCCGCTCCTTTTACAAGGTAACTAGCCTCTATCCCATTTTGCGACTAGGTCTGGCTGGCTGCAGACACCCACTCCGTAAACCAGAATACCAGCCTCTGGCTCATCAAATGAGGTTACGACCTCTACACAGGACCACACAGTAGGCATCGGCGTATCCTAAATGGAGGACACGGATCATCCCAAAAAGCCATGGAATAACCCCTGGCTGCCAGCAGCCCACATGCGAGGGAGGGGTCTGGTTCAGGAAGGCAGGGAGGTACTGGGCCATTATGGATCACGTTCCTCCAGGTTGTGACACAAAGAACTCAGGACCGCCCCGGACCGGACACCGACCGAGGAGCCGGAGGGATCCTTCTAGGAAAAGGGAGAGGGAGGCGGAGCCTTACCCAAAGAGAGAATGCCTCCGAGTCTGCGCACTTCGGCCCGACACGCCCCTTCGGTGCAGCAGTTGGCTAGGATGCTGAGAGCCAAGTCCAGCGTCTTGCGCAGGCGTACTGGTGGCGGAGGCATCGATGATGACACGACAGAGGGGGCGGGGTCCGCCGAGGGGGCGGGGTCAGCAGAAGCTGCTGACGCGGCGACCGGCGAGGGGGCGGAGCCTGGGCCTGCCGGGGGCGGGGCGGGGTCGGCGGCCGCCGCTCGCCGAAGCAGCGAGAGGAGGGGGCGGAGCCCGCCGCGTGCCCGGAAGCGCTCGATTCCCCCTGCTGCCTTGATGTGGCGCGTGCGGAGGGCTAAGAGCGCACGGCCCAGGGGTGTCTCGTTGGCAGCTGGGTCCTTTCCCCCACCCAGGTCCTCCTCGGCCGCCGCCGTGAGCTGCGCGAGGCAGATGGAGAGCGAGTCCGTGAGGGCTGGCTTCGCAGCCGCCATCTTGGCCCGGGCCTCAGGCTCCGCCCCGCTTCTCTCCGCTTATCTGAGAGCGCGGCCCCGGCCGAGGGGCGTGGCCAGTCGCGCCTGCCGACGCCACTTCAACAAGCACGCCGCAGCGTTCCTGTCAGTCGGAAGCTGTGGTCTCCTTGCACTGGGCACGTCGGGAGTGCTGGTGTTTTACGCGAAATGCCAGTCTGCGGCGCGTGCAGTGCATGCTGGGATGTGGAGTCCGTACCAGCTTCCAGTTTGGCGTGGCACGATTGGGGAGACACCCCCGAGTCTACGTGCTGGCCCGCGCCTCAGAGAACCCAGCCTTCCCACCATGGGGACTTGGTGCCGTGCTGCTGCGCCCCCGGCATGTCCCTGGCAGCCACCGGCCCTCCTCCTTGGCTTGCCTCGCCGTCCTCGAACCAGCACGGCTCAACCCCGGCTGACAGATTTCCGGAACTCTGAGCTTGGCTCAGTATCAAGTCCCTGAGAGCGGCAGCTGGGGAGCTGTCACTCAGGGCCAATAAGAGGGTTAAACGTACCGAGAATGTTCGCTGCCAACTTCTAAGATCGACAAGGGCCTGCGAAGCTTTGTGGTGGAGGTGTCCGGTGCTGGATGCACAGGTACCCCCCGCCCCCCACGCTTGTGAGCTGAGTAGCTGGCAAGTAGGAAGCTGGGGGCTCTTCGTTGGCAGTGAAGTCGATGGCGCCTGGGTGGTGAAGGAGAACCCGGACGGGGCGGAGCTGCAGGGGAGTGTCACCTCGGGAACGCGGGCAGGCCCCAGATTGCCCTTGGATTGTGAAGTTTTTCTGCCCGAGTGGCCCTGCCTGGAGTGGCAGGAGTCGTCAGCTGCCAGGGAAATACTCTTGAGTTTGCAGTTGCCTATGTAGGTCAGGTCCTGTGCGTGGGGAGGAGGAAGTCCCTGCCAGGGACAACTGTCCTGCAGTTCGCAAAGCGCACCAGTGCCAGAAGTGTGAACTAAGCACAGCCTGCCTCCCTGATTATACTTACCATCAAAACGATTACTGTTACATCAAAACAACCCCTGGGTGGCAAGTCCTACCACTGTGAAGACTGTGACAAAACTTTCCGCTGTAGCTCAGATCTGGTGAAGAAGTGTCAAGGACACGCAGGCAAAAAACGACTGCATGCTTGCCCCGCGTATGGACATCACTTGAGCCTCAACTCCAGCCTCGTCCAACTGCATCGCTCACTCCAGTGTGCGGCCCCACGAGGGCCTGGAGTGTGGAGAGGCCTTTGGTCACAGCTGTGACCTTGACCAGCACCTGCAGACACATCCAGGTGCTGGCCTCTGCAGATACTCCTGGCTTTAGTTTTAGCCCCAGCTCCAGTCCTGATGTAAGCTCAAAGGGACTCCTGAGAAGCTGACTCCCCTCTACTGATTTGGGGTCTGATAGTGGAATTTGGGAGGGATTCCACATCCTCTCTTTGACCTGGTGGACTGAGTCAGGGAACACCAGGCTGGGAGAGTCGGAATACAAGAGGCCTCTGCTCACTGCCACCAGTGTGCGTTCCTAAATGAGCAGGCGTAGGCTTGTTCTCTGTGGCTGCAGAGCCTGCTTCCTCCAGGTGAAGGGAGAGCTTCTAGGTAGGAGAGCTCTCCCCCGCGGGCCCAGTTGCCTTCAGCCGTTGGACTTCTCTGACAGTTGGTGAACTCATCTCTTCAGAGACCATTCTGGTTTTGTTGTTGTTGTTGTTGGGTGTTACAGCCCAGCTAAGCCTGGTTCACAACCAGACACAGCTCACACATCGCTCATCGGGGCAGAAACCTAGCTCAGCCCTACCTACTCTGGTTCTCACGAACACCAGTTTGCTGGAGTCTGGTCCAGTCTGGCACACCCCAGGCCCAGTCCACACCCAAGCCAAGGGACTGCAAACGTGTCCAGACCAGATAACAGCCCCTACTCCGGCCCTCACACTCACCAGTGGGAACCACAACTCAGCCATGGAGCTGAGGTCATGCTGGACTAGGCTGTTTCCATGAGGCTGCGAAGGGAGCAGACTGAGCAAGGCCATGTTTCAGCACCCACCAGTGAGTTGGGACTGGGGGCAAGCCGGGTCAGACCAGGCTACAGCATCCAAAGGCGGAGGACAAGACAGGTAAGGGACTGTGTCAAGCTGGGTCAGAGCAACCACTGGCACACACGAGATCTGTAGTTGGGAACAGGCCTGGTTAGCGAGCTAAGGGGACACCCTTGATTCTTTTGTTGGGACTGAGGGCTCACTGCTGGTCACAAGCGCCTGCACAGGCAGGACCACTGGTTCATACACACACAGTGTGGTCGAGGAGGACGAGACGATGATGTCCAAAGAGTACACGGCCACCAAGATCCCAGCAGCAGGACCATCTGCCTGGCCCTCTTCTCCAGGGAGTTTTGGGGAGAGGCTGTGCAGGGGCTTGTGACCAGCAGCAATCCTTCAGTCCCAACAAAGAATCAGTGTTCTCCAAGGTGTGCAATCGGAGTGTGCATTGGCCTAGCGCCTAAAGTCCTGGTCTTGAACGTGCTGGGATAACATATGGGCACTGATTCTAATCCTGGTAGCCCCACTTCCCATGCAGCTCCCTGCTTGTGGCCTGGGAAGGCAGTCGAGGATGGCCCAAAGCCTTGAGACCCTGCGCCCATGTAGGAGACCCAGAAGCAGCTTCTGATTTCAGATTTGCTCAGCTCTGGCTGTTGTGATCTTTTGGGGAGTGAAGCAGTGTGTGGAAAATCCTTCCTTCTGTCTCTCTTCTCTCTGTAAATGTGATCTGACTTTCCAATAAAGATTTCTTGAATATAGAAATCTTTCCCAAAAAGCTCTATTTATTCGAAAGGCAGAGTTACAGAGACAGGACAAGAGAGCGAGCTTCCATCTGCTGGTTCACTCCTCAGTTGGCTGCAACAGCTGGGACAAGGCCAGGCCACAGCTAGGAGCCTCATCTGGTCTCCCATGTGAGTGCAGGGGCCCAAGCACTTGGGCCATCCTCCACTGCTTTCCTAGGCCATTAGCAGGGAACTAGATTGGAAGTGAATCAGCCGAGATTTGAACTAGCACCAATATGGACTGGTCCAACTCTGGCTGTTTAGGCCAATTGGGAGTGAACCAGCAGATGGAAGCACTCTCTCTGTAACTGTATCAAGTAAAATCAATGAAGATTTAAAAGAGAAAAAAGACATGGAGCGCAGACCTGGGCCCTGACCCCTGACCCCAGGTGCTCTGGTCTAGGCTCCAAGTGTCCCCAGCTTAACCCCTGAGCCAGACACCTACCCAGGGCCAGTGGCGGGCTGGCGGAGGACCACAGAGGGCATGTCAGGCCCGAGGTTGCCACACAGCAAACTGATGGCAGAGTCAGCACTGTGAACTTAGGGGTCGGGGTTGGAGGTTCCTCTGCTTTTTTCTGGCCCTGGGGGTCTCCCCCAAACCCAAAGCCAAGGTCAGCGGGCGTTTCTACAGGGGCAGACCGCCCATGGGAAGAGGGCAGGGACAATGAGACTGCAGCTCTGTTCTTCAGGGGCATCCACGAGTCCTCGCCCAGAAAGTCAGGGACCTGTCAGGGCAGTGGACAGCAGACAGGACCCCGACGCGGTACAGCATTGCCACCTGGTGGCCAGAAGAAGACTTGCAGCCTCGTGAACAGCCCTGGCTGCTTCCATTGGAGCAGGAGCTGAAGGGATGGCAGGCAGGAGTGGTGGGGACCCTGGGAGACGCTGTCTCAGTCTTTCTTGCTGTAACCCTGCCTTTCAGATAACTAAATCTTATAACAAAGGAAGAAAATTCCACTGTTTGGGGCATGAAATGCACTCACAAAAGGGAAATGGATGGGCGAGGTACAATAGCCTAGTGGCTAGGCTCTGGCCTTGTGTCCACCGGGATCCTATTTTGTATCTCAGCTGATCCATTTCTCATGCATTTATGGCCTGGGAAAGCAGTGGAGGATGGCCCAAAACCTTGGGACCCTGCACCCATGTGGGAGGCCCAGGGGAAGCTCCTGGCTTCAGATTGGCTCAGTTCCAGCTGTCGTGGGAGCGGGCTAGTGCACGGAAGAACTTCCTGACTGTCTCTCCTTCTCTCTGTATATTTGATTTTCCAATAAAAAATATAAAATAACTGAAAATTAAAAAAGAAAGAAAAAGCACAGAGACAGACACAATTCATCCGTTTCTCAAGGCTGGTTGAATGTGAAGCATGCGGGTTCTTACTGAAGTGACAGACATTTCTATGGAGCCAGACCACTCAGTACATTTGGGAAAAATCAGGGCCTTGTGCACTTGCACAGGGACCAATGCACTGACCAACGGCATGAGCCATTCCCTCCCCACATTTCAGGGAGCCAATGAATCCAGGCGGTCAGCATTAGATGTCAAGTTCAGGAAGGAAGAAACGACAAGGGGCCTCCCATCAACACCACATCAGCACACTTCGCCAAAATAAAATAAAAGATCTGAAGCGAAAACAAACAAGCCTAATGATGTCAATGGAAAGGAAAGAGATTTTCCTCAAAATCAAAGCCAGGCAGGTTCGGTTACTGAAGAAAAATCTTCGAAAGAAGGAAGATGAGGGCCCGGCGCGGTGGCGCAAGTGGTTAAAGGTCCTCGCCTTGCACGCCCGGGATCCCATACAGGCGCCGGTTCTAATCCCAGCAGCCCCGCTTCCCTTGCAGCTCCCTGCCTGTGGCCTGGGAAAGCAGTCGAGGACGGCCCAAAGCTTTGGGACCCTGCACCCAGGTGGGAGACCCGGAAGAGGCTCCTGGCTTCGGATCGGCATAGTATCGGCCATTGCGCTCACTTGGGGAGTGAATCATCGGACGGAAGATCTTCCTCTCTGTCTCTCCTCTCTGTATATCTGCCTTTCCAATAAAAAAAATAATAAAAATAAATCTTTAAAAAAAAAAAAGAAAGAAGGAAGATGAAATCACAAGTTTGACACAATCCTTCCCCAAACCTCATCCTCCCTAGTCCTCCACCTCCCCAGGTTTTAAAAGGTTTCTAGAAAATGCACAATTACCAGTGGGCAACAGCAAAGTGGCTCCAGACCATCCACCCGAGAAGACTTTGGCAGCAAAGAAGCAAAGGGAACGTTTCCCAGCATTCTGGGACAGCAGCGAAAGACGGTCCAATGATCTGGGCCCCTGAGGGGGACGCAGGTGACACTTCAGGCTCCTGGTTTCACTCTAGCCCAGGCATGGCTATTGTGGCCATCTAGGGAATGGACCAGCAAGCAGAAGTTCTCTCTCTCTGTGTAACTTGACTTTAAAATAACAAGTAAATCTTTAAAAAGAACTTTTTTTTTTTTAAAAGAAGGTGAAGTAGGGCCGGGCTCATAGCCTAGTGGCTAAGTCCTCACGTTACACAAGCCAGGAAACCATGTGGGCACTGGTTCCTATTTGGCTGTTCCACTTCCCATCCACCTCCCTGCTCATGGCCTGGAAAAGCAGTTGAGGATGGTCACAAAGCCTTGGGATCCTGTACCCAAACGTGCAGCGATTGGGGAGCTAAGAGGACATCCAGCTAGGTGGTGGTTCCCACTGGTGAGCATGAGAACCAGAATGGGTGTGGAAATCTTGACTGGACATGAGTGCAATGTCCCTCAGTACAAATGTGGACTGGTCTGAAGTGTGCTGGGTTGGGTTAGACACCAGCACCCACTGGTGCTTTTGAGTAGGAGTAAGATGGTCTAGGCTAGGTCTCAGCTCCTGCTGAGCCACATGAGAG